TGGATTTCGGTTACGTAGGTGATAACGAACAAAGTTGCATTTTCAATTTTCGTCGTACGTTTTAGTGGACTTTTAACTAATTCAGGAACAGTGTGATAAAGCCAAATTTCAGACTTTGTAAAAAAATTATGAAAATTCTGCAAAGTTTGACCAATATATCTAACTTCTTTATCAGCATGTTTAGGCAAAATTTTGGTATTAAAGTTTGTAGCCCATAAAATTTTAGTATCACAAAGTGCAAATTTTAAGTATCTAGGCCGCTGATTTTTCGCATTTTTTTAGTTGACGGTGCTACGCATTTTTGTTTTCATATAAAAAAGTTACACAGCTGATTTAAAAAAGGAATTTGCATATTAACAGAATAAAAAATGATTCAATAAATTAAAGTGGTGTCAGATAATAAAAAATCAAAGAAAAATACCGTTCTCATATAATTTTTGAATGTGGAGCCATCATCTAGAACGCTTTCACTCCGATCACTGCAGTTTAAAGGTACGGTTTGCACCGTTAAATATTTCGTAGTTTCCGCAAATAGTTGAACAGAGTCGTAAATCAAAGCCATGGAAAGTGTTATGGGACAGGATCCTAAAATTAAGAGAATTTGATTAGTGTCAATGTTGAAGGCACCGTGGCCGAGTGGTTAGAGGTGCGTACTTTTACCTGGCAGAACCCTAGTTCGATTCCGAGCAACATTTAAAAAGGTTTTTTTTTCTTGAAGCAGTCGTTCTTCGACAGTAAGTAAAAAAACCTTGAGTGTATATCAGCCAATAAAAACGTCATGTAACTTATGTATAATTAAACGAAATACCACTTTCAAAATAGGCGGCAACCCTCCTAAAAATTATTTTCGAACTAAAATTTCCTTAAATATTTTTCGTATGACATTGTTATAAATATTTCATGTAACTGATGAATTAAGTGGAAATTTATTTTTTAAACACGTGGCAATCCTCCTAATAGAGTTCTTAAATAAAGGATTTTAAGCCCATTTCCATTGATAACCATCGTTTAGTAATTCATTTAACTTATTAAATAATTTTAGTTTAGCCCTTTAAACTTAAACTTTAAACTTTTTTTTTTACATGTGGCAACCCTCCTATACGTAGTTAATTTATAAAGCCTTTTCAAAACCATTTCGATGGATACCGCTCTTTAATAATTGATTTAACTTGTTAATTAATTTGAGCTTAATTTCTTAACCGGTGGAAACTTTTTTTCGACAAACACTTGACCAAAATCTGAGCGCTAAATATTTATTTTTGTGTAAGTTTGTGTTTTAACGCTTATTTCATAATGAAAACGTATACACATGTACTATACATAACGCTCTTATCTATACTTTCCGTTCGCAGAATAATACTTTATTTGAATTCCAAAAATGAATGCTGCGGCCTTTTCCAAAAAAAAAAAAATTATACTTTATTTGCCGTCTAAATTTTTTATTACACAGTGTTCGCGGAAACACGCTTAAAATGCAAATGTATACTATTATGTAAACAAATAGGGACACGATATCTTGACCAGTTGTGATTATTTTCGTTTCGGTTTTTTAATGATTAATAATTTTTTGTTAAAGTTTAGTTAATTATAGTTAATACTTAACACCATATAAATCCACATTCGAAACTTTGTAGGGAAATGCATAAAACAAAAATGCCACAACAAAAAACTTTGTATTCATAATTTTTAGAAAATTTTCCAATTATGTAGTTTTGTAGCTTATTATGGCGCAAGTTTCAATGGGCTAAGAATTCGCGTTGATTTTTGGTTATTTTTTTTTGCAGACGGTGTTATTATTTCTTCCATGCAAAACCAATTATCGAAAATAGTAACTTTGTATGGAAGAAAACGTGACGCCGACAGCAAAAAATAAATCAAAATTAAACGGTATTCTTTAGACACTTCAAACTAGAATAAGCCCCTTTTTTGAAATCTTATTTTTGTACAAAGTGAGAAATATGGACTTGCATGGCTTTTGTTAGGCATATCATTTTGTCTCGGGGTGTACAATAAAGGAATACCTGGTATTAAGTGTACCCTACTAGGAATTCCTTTATTTTATTGGGAAACTGTTTCTGCAATGTACTGTAAAAAATTCCTTTATTTTTAAATGGATATAATTCGAAACGGGATTTTCGCGCAGTCGGCCGCTGTGGTGTAGTGGTAAGCAGTGCGCGTTTTCACTCATCAGCACCTGGGTTCAAGCCCTGGTCAAAGCAACATCGCAAAAAATATAGAAAAAGGTTTTTTCTTAACAGCGGTCGTCCCTCGGCAGGCAATGGCAAACCTCCGACTGTATTTCTGCCATGAAAAACAGCTTCTCATAAAAATACAATCGCCGTTCGGAGTCGGCGTAAAACTGTAGGTGCCTCCGCTTTGTGTGACAACATCAAGGCGCACACCACAAGTCGGAAGAGAGAAAGCTGTTTCATTACTTCACCTTTATTGCGCCATGGTTCCATGCAAACATTTTAAGGTTTTCCAGCAATGTTTTCAACATATTAAAAAGCATGAAGATAAAATCCATACAAAAGTGCTATGTCTAATTTGTTGAGCAGTTATTAAAGACGACTCTTTTCCTATATTTTGCAGATACATAAAAGTAAACTGCACAGCACTGAAAAAACTCAAATTTTAATGAAAATTTGCTTTAACAAACATTCAAAACCAAACGACATGACATTCCAAGAGTACCGAAATATAGAAAAATAACAGCTTATAATAAAAACAAGACAAGTTGAAGTTTGAAAGTTTGGTTCTCACGTGAGCAACGTCAAAATGGCTTCTACCTGTATTTGTGTGCCTTGAATTGTAGTATGCATGTTTTTAGCCCATTAAATTCTAGTAGTAAAGTGCAAGTCTCAAGATGCTAAGAATTTTTCGATTTTTTTTTTTACCTTTTTTTTGGCGACCGTCGCGATGGTGTTATTATTTTCTTTCATAAAAAAAAAATTGACGAACATAATAACTTTGTATGTACATTTCGAGGGCTTATATTCAATGCCCTCTATCTGCACTTTTTACAAAAATAAGATTCTGATATAAAAATCCAACTTAGACTTAACTGTCATCGGTGATATTAATGCTGACATTATATAATGCATCATCCACTCACCCACAAGGGTACAGAGAGTGGCAGCTAGCCCATGTTTACTATATCTTATAACTCCTTATTCCTAAGTAAAATTAGTGCACATGTCAAGTTTCAGCGAAGTCGGTGCACGTTAACTATTATTTTCAGCTAGCTTTATTTAGCCGATACACTGTGCGTTGTCAGCAAAACAAAAAAAAAAGAAGGAAAATCAACGGTAATTTGTAGACTCTTCAAACTAGGGAATCGTCCCGGTGATTTTTAACCGACTTCAAAAGAAAGGAGGAGGTTATCAATTCGTCGTAATAATTTTTTTGTTTTTTTGTTACTGCATAACTTTGAACCACGTCAACCGATTTAGATGGATGATGAGGAAATTAACGGTACTGCTAAATTTGAAGTTGTTTATGTGTACGGTATGGTTGGATTTACATAGCTTTAGTTAGACCGCATCATTTTGTCGCGAGTTGTACAAAGTGTACGCATATTATCAGGAATTTCTTTATTTTATTGAAAAACTGTTTTAAAAAGTTCTGTATGTACCTACTTCAAAAGACGCTTCTTTTGTGAATAGGATTTTTTTGCAATAATATACAGTTTTTTTGTCTGAAAAAACATGCGAGGGATATTAATGCTCCATTGAAAAGAAATTAGATTAAATTTTTTAAAACCGCCCCCATAATTAAAAAAAATGTTTAAAAAAACGCCATTTGGTTTTTAATAAGTATTAAGAAGCGCTGTTAAATCCTTTTAAATAGTTTGCAATTTATTGTGTAAAAATTTTAAATTCATCTATACACAAACATCTGAGAAATAACGTGTTAAAGTGTAAATCTTGTGAGAATTTTAATTCTTGCAAGCGAACGGAGCGGAAGTGACGCGCCTCGCCCTCCCTTTTTTACAAGCTTTTATTATATGTAGCTAGGACATACAAAGTATGTTCGACAATCTCTTTGTATGGTGAAAATGAGCAATACCTTCCATAAAAAGAATGGTCAAAAATTAACGGTAAGTTCTAAACTTTCACTTTGTTCTACTTAAATTGAATGGGCTACCAAACTGCTTACTGAATGTTTCTAAGAAATGAATTAATTTTCCAAATTTTTTCATATAAACCCGTATAAATGGCCCGAGTTGTTCCATATTTAGAATATATTTATAAGCTTTCTTAAATAAATAAAAAAAAAAAAAAATATTACTTACCACCGATCTGTATTTGTAATATTTATCTATATTATAATTACTTTCAATATTGTTGTATGTATTTTATTTGTAATTTGTAATTTGTATGTACTTGTTGTACTAGAAAAGGCTAAGTCTTATTGTACTAATGTTTTCGAAATGAAATGAAATGAAATATGAAAAGGAACAACTCCAAAAACAAAGGCTCGGATAGCCCATACGAAAATCTATAGAAATCATAGTTGTCGAATTTGTTTTCTTAATTTCTGCCTGCTTCCCAGCTAATCGAAATGTGGCTCGTTTTGCACCACTGAGCGCGACTAAACATTTGACGACCAATATGTGTAATGCCGTAATTATCTACAATTCAACTAATTCGATTCGTGTGGACCGGAAATTGGTTTTAGGTCAATCCATCGCAGAAAGTAGGGTTGAATTATTTTTAAGACAGAAAAACCGATTGATCACTTATCAGCCATGCTCCCATTTTCGGAACCGCAAATATTTTGCGTTTTACTTTTCAAATCGCAAAATTACGTGCTCCAATAAATATTCGCAAATCGGAAAATTTTTGCGGTTTCAAATCGGTTGCCACTGAGACGGTGGAATAAAAATTAAACATAAATAACAAGCTAGCTTAATTTAAATTTATTTTTTAATATGCCCATTAACTTTGTTTGTGGATGTTATGTGTCAATTTACTATTTATTATACACTTCTAATTTTTGGGCAACGAAAATTTGTCGAAGAACGAAGATTTACGATTTGGTGCGGACGATACATGTGAATGCTGGAAACGAAGTGGAAAATGGAACTTATCGATAACAAAAAGTTGCGAATTTAGGAGCAACCAAAAAAAAAAAAACAAGTACGATTTTTACGAAAACACTAAAACTATGCTTAAAAAAAAAAATAAACAATCCAACAACAATAAGCAACGAACAACGGCTATTAGAAAAATCTACACGTATTCATAATTTAAGTGTTATGTGTTATGTTCAGTGTATGCGGTTTCGAGAATGGACCTAACCAAGTAATAGTCACGCACAAGTCTATCCACACGTACGGCGTACGCTAATTTTAAAAAAAGTATGTAGCTTTTTTGTAAACATAGAAGACAATTAA